GCTGGAGGGCACGGCCAAGGATCGCGGGGAGGCGGCTCCAACACGTACGAGCCGTCCCGGGCCGACGCGCTGAGGGAGGTGCGGGTGAAAGACGACAGAGAACAACGAGCACCCATCCCAACCTGAGCTAAAGCAGCAGCCCAATGGGTGATATCGATGTTCGCGCCAGGAAACAGGCGCAGCAAGGCAGAAAGGTCAGCGACAAAGGGCGCGACCTTGGGAAAGGAAGGCGTGGTGCCGGTAGGTGCAGACGGCCTCGAATCCCCCGCGGACAAGTCAACGCGAGAGGCTTCGGAACTGGCAGCGGCCCCTGAGGACAGGTCAACTCGAGGGGCCGGTGGCACGGTAGTGACCCCGGAGGACAAGTCGACTCGAGGGGGGTTCCCACTGGCAACAGAACCGATGGAAGCGACGGGCGGTGCGCCTGAGTCCCCGTCGGAAGGGGCTTCGGCAGCACGGTGAAAATTGCCAAAATGGCCACTCGGCCCTGAAGGGGAGCCAGGGGTAGAGCGAGAGTCGCGACAGCGGCACGAACTCCTCCCTGCGGGGCCGCAACAGCATCGCTGGAGGAGCGCGTGCCTACTCTCACGGCCTCGCTCAGCCCAGGCACGCCTGGCAGCAGCAGCGTCGTCGCTTACAGCGACTCGCCGCTGCGTGAACCCTCGGCCGGTGCACGCAGCTCGCGTGCGTCCACCCCTGTGGTGGGATGCGCCGCCGTGGAGGGCGGCTCCGCCGGCGGCCTGGGAGCCGGCGGAACGGGCGCGGCAAGGGCCTGCCGCCACCCGCACCAGGTCACGCGACACGGGGGGGGCTTGATCCCCGTGAGGAACCATGCGGTTCCGAGGTAGCCGCGGCCCCCCACCAGCTGGACGATGAACATGCACCGCTGCAGCGCCTCCCGCTGGCAGATGAAAGCCAGATCGAGAGCCCTCTGGGGCGCCTCGGCAGGCAGCCCCAGTGCGTCCCCTGCGACCCCCTCGGCGGAGCCGGCGACCGCAGCGGGGTCGGCCCGCCCAAGTGGCGGGGGGACGCGCGCGGGAGGGGCAGGCGGGAGCGCCTGCGGAGGGGCGTTCGACCGAGCCTTCCCCCACGCTGAGACGAGCGCCGAAGCTGGGGTCCCAGCGCGCAGCTGGACGCGATGAGGTGGCGCAGGTGCCCTGGCCAACGTGGCCGCGATCCCGAATGGCTGAAAACCCAGACGAACCGCCACGTCGGCGAAGGGCTGGAGCGCCTCTAGCCTCGCGGAGGGCGCCCCCAGAGCGACGCGAGGCACACGGCCGTGACGGCGGCTCCAGCCCTGGTGGGGGCAGGAAGCCTGGAAGACACGGCGAAGTGGCCATAGGACAGCTTTGCGGCGGCGTGCCCAAATCGCGAGCTGCGGCGGGGGCTGAGGGATCGGTGCGACCCGTGCTCTGTGGCGCCGAAGCAGCGGCGCCCGGCAGGCAGGTACCAGCTACCCCGAAACCATCTGCAGCAGCAGCAGAAACATGTCGCGTAGCGCCTGACAACAAGGGGGCCGACACTGGCAGGGACGCGGGGTCCGTCGACGCCGAGGTTGGATTCCCGAGTAGCCCGAGCGAGTGCAAGATGGCGTGGGCGCTCGCACGGGAGGCACTGACCGCAAGCGGCTCCCTTGGAGGCAGGGGTGAGGCCCCTAGGCAGGGGATCGCCGACTGCCCACTTCCGCTGTCAGGAAAAGGAAACCCAACCGCGGCGTCGGTCGCGCAACGGTTGTGCGGCGGCGGCACCCGAGCGCCCGCCTCCAGGCTAGCGAGGCAGGGAGATGGCCCCACCTGCCAGACCGCAGGGCCCGACAGCGCCTCAAACCCAGGTGGCGGGTAAAAGGGGCAACACTGTCGAAGCGCCCCCTGGAGTAATCGCTGGCGCTAGTGCCGGCGGAAGCGCAGGCGTCGGTGCTGCCGCCGTCTGTGCTGGCGTCAGGGCTGGCGTCGGCGCTGGCCTCGGTGCTGGCGTAGGCGCTGGCGCTGGTGCCAGCGTAAGCGCAAGCGTCGGTGCTGACGCCGCCAGGTGCTGGCGTTGATGCTGACGTCGGTGCGGCGCTGGCGCTGGTGCTGGTGTAAGCGCACGCGTCGGTGCTGCCGCTGTCCGTGCTGGCGCTCGTGCAGGCATCGGTACCGGCCTCGGCGCAGGAGGAGGCGCTGGCGCTGGTGCCGGCGTAAGCGCAGGCGTTGGTGCTGCCGCCGGCAGTGCTGGCGTTCGTGCATCAAAGCCAGGCGGTGGGCCCATCCGCCAAGCTCGCGGCTGCAACGGCGACTCCAACCCAGGGGGGGGCCGGAAGCTGGCGCGAGTCGGCGAGGCGGCTCTGGGACTGCTCCGCGGTGGCCCTGTGCGCTCGGCACGCGTCTGTGACGGCGGCTCCAACCCTGAAGGGAGCTGGAGTCCCGAAAGCGAGGGCAAAGCTGCCTTGGGACCGTCTCGCGGCGGGGTGCTAAGCTGGTTAACTGCGGTGGCGGCTGGGGGAGCGGTGCGAACCCCTCCCTGCGGGGCCGCAACAGCATCGCTGGAGGAGCGCATACCCACCCCCTCCAAACCGCTAGAATCCACAGCGTCCGCCGCTACAGTAGGCGGGGGAGGCACCGCGCGCGACAGCTCGTGGGTGATTGCCAAACGAACAGAGCTCCCGCCCCGCCTGGTTTCGACAACCGACGGCTCCGACCCTGAGGGGGCCGAAAACCCGCGGGAGCGGGCGAGGCGGCCAGAAAACTTGCTCGCGGCGGGCGGCCAGACTGGTGAGCCAGGCCGACGGTTGAGTGGGCGGCACGACCCCTCCCCTGCGGGGCCGTAGCAGCATCGCTGGAAGGGCGCATGCCAACCCCCTCAAATCCGCTGGGTCCCGCCCGAAGGGCCCTGGGCGCGCGCGCGCCTGTCGTTGCCCACGCGAGGGAAACGATGCCGCGAACGGCAGCTGAGCCATGGCGAAGCGGCGACTGGAGGGGGAGGAGTGGAGGGGGAGTGGAGAAAGAGAGGGTCCACCGACTCCGACTCCTCCGTCCGGGACGCCGTTATCTTCGCGCCGGCGGCCTCTCCGCCTGTTGCCAGGCGGGCGGTGTTCCGAGAGGCGGCGGCGACACTCGTGGCGCGAGCAATAGACCGTTCGGCGGCGGGCGGGCTCGACCCTTGAGTGGCGCCGGCAACGGGCGTAGCGCGAGCACTCTTCTTCCGGGCCGATGGCGCGGCCCCCTCGTGACGCGAGGGAACTCCACCTCCTACTCCTCTCCTCAGATGGGCGCCCGCTCCGGGGTCCAAGGGGAAGAGGCAAGAGGAAGGAGGGGAGTTTTGTAGCGGCGAAAGGGAGGCAGGCGCCATCGGATGCCGAGCCTGCGGGACGGGGCTCAGAAGCCAGCGTCACACGAGCAGCAGCTGCGGCAGGCGCGGGAGGAACCCGCGAGCAGGTCAGACGCCTGCCTGGACGGCCTGGCTGGGGCCACGGCCAGATGACACGGGCGCGCACTGCCAGGGGGGCAGCGGCGCCCGAGCGGAGAGTGTGCACACTCGCCGCTGCCGGGTGCCCACAGGAGGCAGCCGGCCCACCCCCACCCGAGCTCTGACTGGCGGGGTGAAAGAGCGACCCCGAACCAGCCAGATCACGGAGGAAGCGTTGGGACCCCTGCCTGCGGCAGTGGCCCAAAGCAGCTCGTAGCCCAGCAAGTAGAACACCGCCGCGTAGGTGAAGAGGAACCTGCGCGGCGGTGGCAACCGCAAGCCCCCTGGCGCCCTGGCCGCGCGCGCGCGCGGCGGGGGGGGCGGGGGGC